CATCATCATCATCATCATCATCATCATCATAATCATCATCAGCACCATCATCATCATCATCACCGCTATAATCACACCAGTCACGTTATCCTACCTTCCCAGCCGCCCTCACAGTGCAGGTTGCCGAGGCGAGAGCCCTAAGTCTCCTCCCCGCCCTACTGGACACTTCCTCCACGTCCTCACACCAACAGGCGACGTCTTCTCCAAGACCTAAAGACTTCGACTCTGGGAGCACCCTGTCGCCCACACCCACCTCTGCAGTTCCCCCTTCCTCCTCTGCTCCGAAGGAATCAATCGATTATTCGACAGAACGACAACCGTACACAGCTCGTAGTTCCACTGACTATTCGTCTGCTTTGCCGTCTAGCTCAAGTGCTGGCAGTTCCGAATCCTCCACTGGGCCATGGTCTAGCACCCCTCCAGGTTTCTCTGGGTCAAGCACTCCCAGAGACTATGGGTCATCAAGCACTCCCAGAGACTATGCGTCATCAAGCTCTCCCAGGGACTATGGGTCATCAAGCTCTCCCGGAGACTATGGGTCATCAAGCTCTCCCAGAGACTATGGGTCATCAAGCTCTCCCAGAGACTATGGGTCATCAAGCTCTCCCAGAGACTATGGGTCATCAAGCTCTCCCAGTGACTATGGGTCATCAAGCTCTCCCAGAGACTATGGGTCAAGCTCTTCCACTCCCAGAGACTATGGGTCAAGCTCTCCCAGACCCTATGGGTCAAGAATTATAAGAGACCTACGGTCGAGCATTCTCAGAAACTATGCGTCATCAAGCTCTCCCAGTTACGATGGGTCAAGCTATCCCAGTTACTATGGGTCAAGCAGTCCCAGTTACGATGGGTCAAGCTCTTCAAGCTCTCCCAGTTACGATGGGTCAAGCTCTCCCAGTTACGACGGGTCAAGCTCTTCAAGCTCTCCCAGTTACGATGGGTCAAGCTCTCCCAGTTACTATGGATCAAGCTCTCCTAGTTACGATGCGTCAAGCTCTCCCACACCCTATGGGTCAAGCTCTCCCAGTTACGATGGGTCAAGCTCTTCAATCTCTCCCTTTTACGATGGGTCAAGCTCTCCCAGTTACGATGGGTCAAGCTCTCCCAGTTACGATGGGTCAAGCTCTCCCAGATCCTATGGATCAAGCTCTCCTAGTTACGATGGGTCAAGCTCTCCCAGATCCTATGGGTCAAGCTCTCCTAGTTACGATGGATCAAGCTCTCCCAGTTACGATGGGTCAAGCTCTCCCAATTACGATGGATCAAGCTCTCCCAGTTACGATGGGTCAAGCTCTCCCAGACCCTATGGGTCAAGCTCTCCCAGTTACGATGCATCAAGCTCTCCCAGTTACGATGGGTCAAGCTCTCCCAGTTACGATGAGTCAAGCAGTCCCAGACCCTATGGGTCAAGCTCTCCCAGTTACGATGGGTCAAGCTCTCCCAGTTACGATGGGTCAAGCTCTTCAAGCTCTCCCAGTTACTATGGGTCAAGCTCTTCAAGCTCTCCCAGTTACTATGGGTCAAGCTCTTCCACTCCCAGAGACTATGGGTCAAGCTCTTCCAGACCCTATGGGTCAAGAATTCCAAGAGACCTATGGTCGAGCATTCTCAGAAACTATAGGTCAAGCTCTCCCAGTTACGATGGGTCAAGCTCTCCCAGTTACGATGGGTCAAGCTCTCCCAGACCCTATGGGTCAAGCTCTCCCAGTTACGATGGGTCAAGCTCTCCCAGTTACGATGGGTCAAGCTCTCCCAGTTACTATGAGTCAAGCAGTCCCAGTTACGATGAGTCAAGCTCTCCCAGTTACTATGAGTCAAGCAGTCCCAGACCCTATGGGTCAAGCAGTCCCAGTTACGATGGGTCAAGCTCTCCCAGTTATTATGGGTCAAGCAGTCCCAGTTACGATGGGTCAAGCTCTTCCAGACCCTATGGGTCTGGAATTCCAAGAGACCTATGGTCGAGCATTCTCAGAAACTATAGGTCAAGCTCTCCCAGTTACGATGGGTCAAGCTCTCCCAGTTACGATGGGTCAAGCTCTCCCAGTTACGGTGGGTCAAGCTCTCCCAGTGACGATGAGTCAAGCTCTCCCAGATCCTATGGGTCAAGCTCTCCCAGTTACGATGGGTCAAGCTCTCCCAGTTACGATGGGTCAAGCTCTCCCAGTTACGATGCTTTTAGTTCTAGATCTTCCACACCTTCTAATTACTATTCGTCATCAATGTCCTCTGAGACGAGTACTCAAAGTAATTTCGATTCCTCATCGGTATCTTACGAGCCGAATACTAGAAGCAACTACGATTCCACATCAGCCTCTTATGAGTCGAGTAGTTCCCCATCGGACACATTTGATTCAAGCACTTCCAGTTACGATTCCTCAACGCCGTCCTATGAATCGAGTAGCTCCAATTACGATTCCTCATCCGTGTCCCAAGAACCGAGTACTCAAAATAATTACGATTCCTCAACAGCGTCCTATGAATCGAGTAGCCCTAGTGAGGTTTCCACATCCGTGTCTTATGAACCAAGCACTTCTAATTACGATTCCTCATCAGTATCCTACGAGCCGAGTACTCAAAGTAACTACGATTCTTCATCCGTGTCCTATGAATCGAGTACTCAAAGTAATCACGATTCCTCAACAGGGTCACCTGAGCCAAGCACTCAAAGTAACTAGATCTAGGTTAAAATTCTTCTTCAGCATCCGATTAGTGAAATGCTCCCATTTACTATATTATTATTATAATAAATATTCTCATTACCTCCTTTTTAGTTTTCGTAAAAGTTGTACGGCACTTATAAGGTCGTGTAAGTGCCGACGATTAGAGGCGTTACAAGAGAGTAACAAACACCAAATAACAACTGGTAACAATTAATAACAACTGATAACGACAAATAACAACTGGTAACAACAAAATTATTACGACACAAATCAACACAAACGTCCAAATTATTTTTTTCTAGATAATTTGATACTTTCGATTTTATTTTCGATTTGTAAACAAATTTTAATGAAAGTGAACAAAAAAAACAACCAAACAGCAACAACAACAAACAACAACAAAATCAAGAGGGGACGCAACTCCAGCAGTCATCGCTAATGAATAGTCTACTCGCAGTAGTCGCTCGTTGCTCGGAGTTGTGCACGTAAAGTAGGGGCCTGGTTGACTACAGAAATATTGATTTTTGAGGCTGGAACCAAAGTATTTTCGTGTTATCATTTGTTATTAAATTGTTGTTATCACTTGTTATTTGTTGTTATCAGTTGTTATTTGTTGTTATGTGTTGTTATCAGTGTTGTTATCTCGACAAAGATAAATAAATGTACCCAACAAAAATGACAACAGTGAGTCAATCTCCAGAGTGTCTTTGTACCATCGTGAAGGGGTATTGTGAGTGGAAAATGTCAACTTTCTACCTCGTTTCTTCCATAATTATAGAACGCCCCTTCTCTTATCACATCATCAATATTATTATTATTGGTTGGTACGCCGATCATTAGCTTATCGTTGCAAAATTGTGGGATTCAGTTTTTTAACTACGCAGCCTTCATTGCCCCTTCTTTGTGCCTTTTTTCCTAAAGCATGTCATATTTTAATCAGACTCATGTTTATGAGAAACAATAAAATCTTTTCATATGCAATGTGTCTTTTGCTTGTTTGTTTTGTGTGGGGGGGGTTTTGTTGGGTTTTTTTTTTTTTGGTTTTTCAAGTTCATAAATTAGTATAGATTATTAGTTTGTTGTTTTAGTGGAGTTTTACGGTACTCACAACTGCATAAGATCGTATGAGCACCAAGGGGTGGATGTGAACAGAGAAGAAAAGACCATACAGGGAATCAGACTTACTCTGCCCACCTCTCTAGCCTCAATAGCACAAAGTCTGCTTCGACTATCATGGCACCCCGGAAATTGCATTTCACAAGAGAGTGACGAACATGCAAAAGAAATAGAGGAAAAATGACGATAGTAAGGATGAGGAAAGAAAAAGCAGCAGACCCCCCC